ATAGAAAATAAAAAGTGCAGCAAGTGGCTTGTTCTGTACAGTTTGACAGATTTTTTTGCACTGTCAGCTCTTATCCCAAAAAGTCAAATAATAACTTACATGGCTCTTTATTAACTGGATTAACTGTGATTTGTTAACAAAATTTTACTTTTGAGCACAACCAACAGGCATTATTAATGCAAGGTAAAATATAGGTACCCCAGCTATAATGTAAGCGTGTTTTAGTTGCTTCGGGAGGAGACACTAAAGACATGAATACTTCCTCAAGCACCGTAATCCAGGTATTTCTTGAAGCAGTGTATTTATTGGGTGCACAGGTTACACACAAACACGCATTTGCAACAAGCAGAGAATGGTCTATGGTTCGGTGCACGCATGTATGGTCTGCACTGGGTACATTATGACCACGTTACGGCTTCGCGCTTGCTGAGCTATTGTTCACAGCAACTGGAGACTGGAACCGCTGTCAATACAAAGCGGCCCCAGTTGCTCCGGGGTCAGAGCGTTGCAGAACGTTGGACCCCCTTTTGAGTACCTACAGCAAGTGCCCCGGAGTCACACAGACATTTCACAAAAAATGTCATTTTCAGCGGGAATTACTGATATCCAGAGAACATCACGTTTATGTCACACACCTTGCAAACTGTGATGCTTTTGTCTAAGTCGCAGCTTTCCTTATTTTTTTTCAATCCCAAAGTGCTCCCACACATCAGATTTCAAGAACGAAGGTGCTGGCGGGTTAACTTGGGTGGTTTGAACGGGACTAATGTATCAGTACTCGCGGTTGAAAAAACTATACAGTGTCTTACAAAAGTATTCACCCCCCTTGGCTTTTTGCCTATTTTGTTACATTACAGCCTTTAGTTCTATGTTTTTTCTAATCTAAATTTTATGTGATGGATCAGAAAACAATAGCCTAAGTTGGTGAAGTGAATTGAGAAAAATATATACATTCAACTATTTTTCAGAAATAAAAAACTGGAAATTGGCATGTGCAAATGTGTTCACCCCCTTTTTTATGAGGCCCATAAAAAGCTCTGGTGCAACCATTACCTTCAGAAGTCACATAATTAGTGAAATGATGTCTACTTGTGCGCAATCTAAGTGTCACATGATCTGTCAGTACATATACACACCTTTTTTGAAAGGCCTCAGAGGCTGCAACACCTAAGCAAGAGGCACCACTAACCAAACACTGCCATGAAGACCAAGGAACTCTCCAAACAAGTAAGGGACAGTTTGTTGAGAAGTACAAGTCAGGGTTAGGTTATAATAAAATATCCAAATCTTTGATGATCCCCAGGAGCCCCATCAAATCTATCATAACTAAATGGAAAGAACATGGCACAACAGCAAACCTGCCAAGAGACGGCCACCCACCAAAACTCACGGACCGGGCAAGGAGGGCATTAATCAGAGAGGCAGCACAGAGACCTAAGGTAACCCTGGAGGAGCTGCAGAGTCCCACAGCAGAGACTGGAGTATCTGTACATAGGACGACAATAAGCCGTACGCTCCATACAGTTGGGCTTTATGGCAGAGTGGCCAGAAAAAAGCCATTACTTTCAGCAAAAAACAAAATGGAACGTTTGGAGTTTGTGAAGAGGCATGAGACTCCCAAAATGTATGGAGGAAGGTGCTCTGGTCTGATGAGACTAAAATCGAACTTTTCGGCCATCAAGGAAAACATGTCTATGTCTGGCGCAAACCCAATACATCACATCACCCAAAGAACACCATCCCCACAGTGAAACATGGTGGTGGCAGCATCATGTTGTGGGGATGTTTTTCAGCAGCCGGGACTGGGAAACTGGTCACTGTTGAGGAAAAGATGAATGGTGCTAAATACAGGGATATTCTTGAGCAAAACCTGTACCACTCTGTGCATGATTTGAGGCTAGGACGGACCCCAAACACACTGCTAAAGTAACACTTCAGTGGTTTAAGGGGAAACATGTAAATGTGTTGGAATGGCCTGGTCAAAGCCCAGATCTCAATCCAATAGAAAATCTGTGGTCAGACTTAAAGATTGCTGTTCACAAGCGCAAACCATCCAACTTGAATCAGAATCAGAATAATTGTTATTGCCACGTAGGTAACAGGAGGTCACAGACTTGGAAAATAAAAAATAAAGAATAAAAAACACTTCTAAGGAATACATTTAAATTTGATATAGAGTTACAGTTACTATTTACAATATACAAGTGCACTTGTATATTATGACGTATGATGGGCAGTAAAGTGACTTTATGGAGGGCGGGGGGACAGGTTAAGAAGTGTTCAAGAGTCCAACAGCAGAGGGGAAGAAACTGTTCTTGTGGCGGGAGGTTCTAGTCCTGATGGACCACAGTCTCCTGCCTGAGGGGAGTGGTTGGAATAGTCCATGTGCTGGGTGAGAGGGGTCGGCTGTAATACGACCAGCCCGGCCTCGAGCTCGGGCGACGTACAGGTCCTGCAGCGATGGAAGGCTGCGGCCGATCACTTCCTCTGCAGAACACACAATGCACCGTAGTCTCTGTTTGTCCCTGACTGTGGCTCCAGCGAATCACACGGTGATGGAGGAGGTGAGGATGGACTCGATGATGGGCATGTAGAACTGCACCAACATCTGTGCAGGCAGCTTGGCTTTCCTGAGCTGCCGCAGGAAGTACATCCTCTGCTGGACCTTCTTGATGAGGGAGCTGATGGTCGGCTCCCACTTGAGGTCCTGGGTGATGGTGGTGCCCAGGAAACGATAGGACTCCACAGAGGTGATGGGGGAGTCCATCACGGAGGGTGGGGGCGGGGGGACAGTGCTCTTCCTGAAGTCCACAATCATCTCCACTGTCTTCTGGGCGTTCAGCTCCAGGTTGTGACCACTGCACCAGGACACCAGCCGGTCCACCTCCCTCATGTAGGCGGACTCATCGTTGGAGATGAGTCCAATGAGGGTGGTGTCCTCTGCGAACTTGATCAGCTTCACGGAGTCGTGGCTGGAGGTGCAGTGGTTGGTGTACAGGGAGAAGAGCAGGGGAGAAAGAACACAGCCCTGTGGGGCTCCTGTATTTATAATCCGAGAGTCCGAGACATTCTTCCCCAGACGCACTCGCTGCTTCCTGTCCGTCAGGAAGTCAGTGATCCACCTGCAGGTAGAAACGGGCACGTTGAGCTGGGAGAGCTTGTCCTGGAGCAGGGATGGCAGGATCGTGTTGAAGGCAGAGCTGAAGTCCACGAACAGGACCCTGGCGTAGGTCCCCGGGGAGTCCAGGTGCTGTAGGATGTGGTGGAGGGCCAGGTTAATGGCGTCGTCTACAGATCTGTTGGCTCTGTAAGCGAACTGCAGGGGGTCCAGGAGGGGGGAGGTGAAGGACTTGAGATGGGAGAGGACCAGGCGTTTAAATGACTTCATGACGACAGACGTAAGTGCTACAAGTCTGTAGTCGTTGAGTCCTGTGATCCTGGGCTTTTTCGGGACGGGGACAATGATGGAGGATTTGAAGCAGGCCGGGACATGGCAGGACTGCAGAGAGGAGTTGAAAATGTCAGTGAACACAGGAGTAAGCTCACTGGCGCAGTGTCTCAGAGTGGCCGGAGACACGTGGTCCGGACCAGGAGCTTTGCGGGGGTGCAGCCTCAAGAAGAGTTGTTTAATATCTTTAGAGGCATCAGGCTGGGGGCAGGGCTGATGGGTGGGTCGTTAGAGTAGTGGGGGGTGGGGGAGGTGTCAGGGGCAGCATCAAAACGACTGAAAAAAAAGTTCAGTTCGTCAGCTAGCTTGTGGTCGTCAGCACAGGGGGGGGGCTTTGGGCTTGTAGTTGGTGATCTCCCGTAGGCCCCTCCAGACAGAAGCAGTATCATTGTTACCAAACTGCTCCTGTAGTCGTTCTCTGTGCCGGGACTTGGTTGCTTTCAGTTCGTCCCTGAACTGATATTTACTTTTTTGGCTAGAACATGGACTAAATCAGCCGCAGATGCCAAGAAAACAGGCAATAGGTCCATAGGAACGGTGGGTCGGATGTTCATAAGTTCCTCACGGGTGTAGGAACAGCCAGATGCACAGTTAAAAAGTAAAACTAAAAGCAAAAGAGAGCAGCAAAGAGCCGTGTCGACCGTACGGGGCGCCATCTTGATGAAGGAGCTGGAGCAGTTTTGAAGGAGGAATGGGCAAACATCTCAGTGATAAGATGTGGCAAGCTCATAGAGACTTATCCAAAGCGACTTGGAGCTGTGATTGCAGCAAAAGGTGGCTCTACATAGTATTGACTTTAGGGGGGTGAATAGTTATGCACATTAACCTTTTCTGTTATTTTGTCCTATTTGTTGTTTGCTTCACACACAAAAAAAAGACATCTTCAAAGTTGTGGGCATGTTCTGTAAATCAACTGATGCAAATCCTCAAACAATCCATGTTAATTCAAATACTTTTGCAAGGCACTGTGTTGTATTGCAGGGGAAAAAAACGATTGATATCGCAAATCAATTTTTTCCTACACCCTCCATCCCAGTACATTACTGTGTTCTGTGCAAAAGTATTGTGCAAACTGTAGTCTATCATGTATCTCCAAATAGATTTGGGAATTTCTCCAAATTACAAATCAAACTGCGTGACTCCTACTACACCGTGCCATGTTAGTTTTCTATTAAAAATGCACTGGGGGGGGGGGGGGATAATCATCAACTTCAAAATTTCAATGCACCCATTTGGGACTTGATTAACACTATAAATGCATAAGTGCAATTTTCTGCACATTTCGCCCGGTATGCATAAGCTATCCTTACTGTTTGCTTGTATACTGTTAAATAAATGCTTCAAAACTCATTTTGGAATTATTTAACACTATCATTAGAAGATTTGTTACACCTCAAAGCAACTCTATCTTGAAAACAATTCCCCATCCATCTTTAAACATTCTAGGCTGTTACAACCTTTCTACGCTTTTACTGTTCCTATAGTGTACTAAGACTAAACGACTCAATTGGAAAACTTTGGAAAATACTTTTATTAACATACAAAACTCAACCTAAGGTACAGATCTTAGTCTTTCAAGACTTTCTTGGAATCTTTCATATTCCAGTGTGGTTCGGTCACTCCTCTTGCCTAGGTATGCCATGAGAGCATCTCCAAACTCGTGTGCTGTTTTCATCCTCCTCTTCCCACTGGCCAGTGTTACCTGGATTCTGAAGATGGGATCAGCTTTAGGCAGAAGTGTGGTACTTTGTCTTGCAAACTGAACCTCAAGCTTCATTCTCTGCAGCTTTTCAATGTTGTTCAGACTTTGATCCACAAGGAACTTATCAACTTCCCCGCTGTCAGTGAAGGGGCCACCTCTAGATTTAAGAATGTCCAGCAGGTCTAGTCTCTTCCTCTCTTTTCTTTGAGCCATCTCCTGTTTCTGTTCTGCCCCACACTGGAATTTCGCCTTCATGAGTTTACTCCAATTTAGTTCAACCTCTCGTTTTGCCTGGGCTGCTGCCTTGAATCCTCTGAAGGATGGAATCTGTCCATTCCTAAGTTCCTGGCTCTTTTGTAAAATGATTGACCTACTCACTGCATTCAGTGTACCTAGTTTCTTCAGTCTGTAGTCCACCTTGCCACATTGTCTCTCCATCCCAATGTTGTGCACAGGGGTGCCATCAATATCACCAGCCTGTTCACTGATCGGGTAGTCCATTGGGAAGGTCTCCTCATCAATCCCATAGTCCCTTCTCTGCCTGGCCAGGACTGTCTTCAGGTGGGGCTGCATGAGAGCAATCAGCTTCTTCACCTCATCCAAGTGTTCAGCAGCCACGTCAGACACAGAGTTCAGCACCTCTTCTGTGTAGGTCCTCTTTACGCTACTGAAAAGCTTTTCAGACACTACAGGATACTCAGGTGTTATGAATGCAGTGTAACTGTCACTGATTGGCTGACCCAAGCCTGTGTGGAGTCCCTTGTAGAACTCCCTGAGCTGAGAATGGGTAGCATCTTTCTCGATGGTTCGGGCATAGAAAGGCTCCACCAAGTGCACACCCAGGCAGGCAAACACCACGAGGACCACCTTTAAGTAGGGAAGCTCCATCACTTCTCTGACGAGGCAGGCCAGACGGTTGTTAATGTGAGGGTTCTGGCTCAGGAACTCTGTTAGATGGCCAAAGTGGTGTATTAGGACGGCTGCTGCCCTTGAGAGACACCCAAACCTGCTGTCTTTGTATGAAAACAGCACACTGGATACCTGCCTTTGCTCAAGGAAGTGGAGAAATTCCTTATAGCGGTTCCAGGGTTTGTGGGCGTACTCAGGAGCCACCAACTAATATAGGCAAAGGGAATGGGCTGTCTTGACCCACATGTAACCCTTGTACCATGAACTTTCCTACACCTTTCTTTGTGGTGCTGTCCGACGCATGTGTGATAATTTTACCCTTCCCCTTCTCCTCCTCCAGCTTTTCCACAACTAGACACAGACTTTGTGCTTCAATTTGCTGTAGAGCAGCCCTTATACTTCTAGTACTTGGCACGGTATCCTTATCAAAAATCTCATCGCATTCCCCAGCACTTTTTCAACATTGTCCAAACATACTGTTGCCAGTGTTGCCAACTTAGCGACTTTGTCGCTAGATTTAGCGACTTTTCAGACCCCTATAGCGACTTTTTTTCAAAAAAGCGACTAGCGACAAATCTAGCGACTTTTTCTGGTGTTATTGGCGACTTATCTGGTGTTTTGGCGACTTATCTGGTGTGTTTTGGAGACTCGTGAAGCACGTATTGTTCTGCTGTCCTCAACGTGAGCCCCTCCCCCGTCCCAAAGCACTTACAGGCGGCCAGTCTCACAGTAGCCTTGCGCAGCAGTCCCAGCTACAGTCTATGGGCGGAGCAGAGAGAGAGAGAGGAGACTCAAAAGCACAGGAAGTTTTCAGGCTGCTGCAGACTGAACTTCAGCTCCACCACCACCACACATCCAAAGCTCCCCGGCCACTCCTACCACCGCCACCCCCCACTACCCCCCACTCCATCCGCGGCAGCTCTGTCCGTGACTCTGTTTTCTCTCAGTAGTGGGTCACATTAAATCATTTGTTATGCCAAACTATGAAAAAAAAAAAAAACTTACAAAAATAAACCTAAGTAACTCTGCCAGAGTGTGTCTTTTGGGTCACTTTGCCGGTCCCAAGCCCGGATAAAGGAGGAGGGTTGGTTGTAGAGCTAGCAATTTCACCCTACATAACAATCTTTTGATTACATTTGCTGTTATAACATTTAACAATACAGGACAAAACTGATGTGTGTAATGTGGATCTAGACAAAGCATTAAAATCATTAAATGTTGTTAATGTTGAAATTATTTTTGTACATTTGTAGTTCTAAACATATTTAGGGTGTTTTTACTCACTTTTGTCTCTCCCACGACCTTATTCCTCTCTCCTACAGCGTCCGTTACAGTTATTTGCAAATGGCAAATTATGCAAATTAGGCAATGACGTCATTTAGCGACTTCTAGCGACTTTTGGGACAGCCAATAGCTACTTTCCTTACTGAGGAGTTGGCAACACTGACTGTTGCCTACTTCAATTACAGCTGTGCTCGCCTCAAAGATAGAAAGTCCCTTTCCAGACAGATTGGCTATAGTTGTATAGAATTCTTCCCGGACCTTTCTCTCTGACAATCGGATGTGTTGAAATTCTGGTGGTAGTGGATCTTCATCCATATGTAAGTCAGCAACATCTTTGAAGATTTGTTTCCTCCCTTTGGGCTCTGCTCGCACCTCACTCTGTTCTCCCTGAGTTTGAAGCTGTGTGTCACTCTCAGACATTTGTCTCAATCGCTTTGGGGGTGTGACCTCCTTCTCTTCATCGCTGCTAGAGCTGGATATCTCACCGGTTTCCATCAAGATATCTGTAATTTGATCCAGAGTTTGATATGAGAACTGCTGGTCTCTCTTCCTCTGATATTCTTCGCTCCTCTCCCTCAGCCTTTGGGTTCGCATCATGCTATGGTACCAGACTGGGTCCACACCTTTGGAACAGAACATCCGCCGCTCAGTCTTCTGATCTTCATAATATTTGTGTTCCATTTCACTCATACTTACACACCACTCTTTCTCCAGTGATTGCCGACGTTTCGGGTCATGAGCAAATACATCAAAAAGCTCAGACTTTGAATGAAATAACTCTTTGTATTGCTTTACAGCAAGTGAATCTCCTTTTCCTGTCTGTCCATACCTCTTTTTGCCCTCACTGAATTGTTTCCAGATCCTTTCTAACTTCCTCTGGATGGTGCTCAAGGAGACACAGAACACAGTGTCATGGTAGAATCAGAATCAGAATCAGAATCATTTTTATTGCCACGTAAGTAACAGGAGGTCACAGACTAGGAAATTACTTGGCGTAAACCTGTTTTGTCACTTCCCGTACTGCCATGGTTGTAGTCACTCTCCCATTGCCCCTTTCTAGGTGGTACCGTATCACGCTTATGACACTCTGCAGTGTAGGGAGTTTTGTAGGGGGTTGGAAGTTCTTGCAGGGAGGAAAGTTGATATCTGTATTATAAATATTTCCAGTAGATCTAGTTTTGGACGAGTGTCTGGGCTCTGCCATCCTTGATGATGTATGATGATGTACTTTTCTGAAAAAGATTAATATTCTAAATTAGATTGAGTTACAAGCACTAGGACTAAGCCAGTGTCAATTACTTATGTGATATTGTGAAAGATCCCAGACGTAAGACAAAAGAGACTTCGACTGCGTAGTTCAAAAGTTTTATTGTCAGACGGTTTGAGCGTATTCTGATCAAGCACAACGCAGCTTCCCGTCTGGCTGATACATGATATTTTAAACAGCAAATAGTAATTAAATATTCACAATATCTACTAATTTATTACTGTATAATCTATTTGTCTGGCTAATATGAGCTAACAAGTCAAATCAACTGTTATGCTAAGCTAGCTAGCTAGCTTACTCTTTCTAGCTAAAATAATTTAAAAGGTGACTAATTTGGCTGGAACCTGACACAAACCAAGCTCAAGTAAAGTATAAAAATATACTATATGCTAAATATTATAATATAATTAGAATATAATGATTTTTCTTTTAAGAAAAAGCAAAAAACATACCTGTGGCGTCTGTTGAACTGCTGAAGGTGTTTTGAATGTGATCATCTGCTTGAGGATTTTGATGGTTCGCTTGAATCAACCAAAAGCCAAAATATATTTTGTAACTATATATTTATTACAATAAAACTGTCCAACATTTTAGAGGTGAACAAAAACCTTCCCTCTTTATTTTATTTGATATTTAATTTTATTTCATGTATAATATGTGGGAAAAGGGTTAATAAGCATAATCCATCCAGTTTTTTGGGTGGGGTGGGTTTTTTTTTTCATGGTAGGTACAAACTTCCAATACAAAATATCTCTCAAATGACCCAATGCACCATCCCTCAAGTGGGTGTAATCATTTTCAATTTTTTTTATTTTTATGCCATTTATCCCCCCCCCCCCCCCCCCCCAGTCTGGGGGGTGTTTTCCTGATCTGTATCATTCTTCTATACATGTTTTTTTCCCTTAATGTTTTATATTTAATATGTAGGGCCATGAAAAAAGTAAAGCCATATTAAAAATGCATAATCAAGTATGACGCATCCTATGGAAATTAAACTGTCATTTATACCGTTTAATTACCGGTCTACATTGAACTAGACTGAGAAACTGTATGACAAACTGCATGATCTGGCTGATCACAAATGCATTTTATTAAAAGGAAATATGTACAAAACTGACAGCAGCAAAAGATATCAATTAATACTCAACATTATAAATGACAAAATGTGACTAAAATGCATGCTGCTTTAGGTTCATTTAGAGTCTAATGTAAATGGCACACACACAAAGCATCACATTTCAAGTAAAAACTGGGTCAATACTTTTTCACTTTGATCACTAGCTGCAATAATTCTCGTCCTTAGCATGTCTCGAGATGATTCAGGTCCATGAGGTCCAGGTCCAGCCTCAACAGAACTGAAACAGAGAAGTGATAGTCAGGACTTCGAACAACACACATGTAGACAGCCTGCTGCAGGAGTCACAACACAAACATTGTACTCAGTGTGCGAAATATCCATCAATATTCAGGGGGGTCCCTGAATTGTTTTCAGGCAAACACGCACACGCTTCAGTGTTAGAAGCTAGTCAGAGCCAGAGACCTCAATGAGCGGAGTGTTACAAGCTTCATTTGTCCATCACTAACGAATTGCGTCTTTCCTTGAGTCCAAATAGACCAAATAGGCCTCAGCTGCCCTTATTTTTGGGTTTCCAGGAAGAAGAGAAGCAATGTTCTGCCTTTATCCAACTCCTGAAAAATGGAAATGGGTCCATTTATGTTCTCAAACAGTAGTTTATGTCCTCAAACAGGAAGGACAATAGTCTTCATGCAGCCTGTTCCATTTTATTGTCCGTAATGTCGACTGCAGAGAAGCCTCGCTGCTTGATGATGAGAATATGTGCTTCTTCTGTTGTAGCTCGGTGCGGGCCTCCCGCACCAGCAGCTTCATCTAATGTCACTTTGGCTTCATCACAAGACGTGATGAAGCCAAAAAGAGCTAGTTTTCAACAACATTCAGGTGATATTGGTTATGTATGTTCTGTTTGGCGCATGGCTAATTTGCATACCGCTCTAAGCGCTGCTTCTAAATAATAAGTAAATATTACATTATGATGATTAGACATATTTATCTTATCACTGACAGTAATACATATTATGCAATTTAAAATACTATATATATATCATCTGTACTTCTTAGCAGGTTTTCCCGACGTTTCGTCCTCAATCCAAAGGACTTCTTCAGGGAATGAATTCTCAGACCGCGCGTTGGAGATTTAGAACCTATGGGTGTGGTTAGCCACACCCTAATCCTGATACTAACTCATAAACAATCTAAGGTCTGTTTGATGTAGAAGGGAGCAGGTCTAACGACCCTGCTGAGGCTAACGACCCAAACTCATTAGCATGTCACAGACCTATTGTCTGCTGGGATGCTCAAGTGGAGTGCAGGTCTCACCCCTCCTAACTCATTAGCATGTCACTGACCTTGTCCCAAGTTAGGGCGTTGGTTTTAGGATGTCGTCATAGATGCGAGGCAAAACAAATCTTAACCCTCCTCCTCTGTTAAGAGAAGGTTTTTGTTTCCTCACAAAAATGGCTTCTTTCACCCCTCTCTCAAACCAATTCTTCTCCCGAGCCAGAATTTTAACCTCTGTGTCATCCACCGTGTGGTTGGAGGCCTTGAGGTGGAGATGAACAGCCGACTGTGGCCCACTAGAGTTTTCTCTACAATGTTGGTAAAGTCGTTTCTGTAGTTTGTTTGGTTTCTCCAATATAGTGGTCAGTGCACTCTTCTTCACTACATTTAATTGAATACACCACATTGCTCTGTTTGTGTCTGGGTGTTTTGTCTTTGGGATGCACTAATTTCTGTCTTAACGTGTTGAAAGGTTTGAAATACACAGGGATTACACAGGGATAACCACACCCATAGGTTATAAATCTCAAACGCTCGGTCTGAGAATTCATTCCCCGAAGAAGTCCTTTGGATTGAGGACGAAACGTCGGGAAAACCTGCTAAGAAGTACAGATGATGGATGAGAAATCTTCCTTTGCTTTGACTAATCCCTGTACGACTGAGGGCTTACACAAACTTATATATATTATTCTTATTTTATATTACTTGTAGGAAATTTTAGACCCCTCCCCAACACAGGCTTTCAGAGGGTCTAATAGTATACAGGGGGGTTGGACCCCCCAAACCCCCCTATATTTTGCACTATGATTGTACTTTCAATCATTAACAACTAGAAAATAGAAATTTAATAGAAATACATGGTCTGATCATGCCACATTTGGCTCATCTTTGTGCCTTTGCTCTACACAAAGATGTATCCATGGCAGCATCATGTGAGTGCTCATGCAAGCTGACCGACTTGCACTGGGGCTTATGAGATCATCTTGTTCATATAAGATAAGATAAGATAAGAGTTCCTTTATTCGTTCCACAGTAGGGAAATTTCAATGTTGCAGCGCAAATACAGGACAGTAGTAAGAGCACACAAGGAGCACAAAAAATATACAAAATAAGTAGGAGCTATGTTTCTTAACTAGCATTACTGGCTGTAGAGGCTGAAAATGCTTCAATACCAGTCAAAAAATATATACATGTAGTAGTGCAGAGTTATGTACCGTACATATAGTGATAGTATACATATAGGATAATAAGTATTTAAGTGAAGTGACATTGTTCAGTGGATATTCTGAAGTTGCAGTATTGCACATTGCACATGATTTAAGAATGTACTTATTTACAGATGAATGAAATTTACAGGCTCAGCAGTTCTTATTGTACAGTCTGACAGCAGCAGGAAGGAAAGACCTACGGAACCTCTCCTTCACACAGCGAGCGTGAATTAGTCTGTCACTGAAGCTGCCCTCCAGAGCAGAGATATATAGTGGCTCTTATGTCCTTAACCTCATAACACCCCCCTCATGTTGGCTTATGCACAAAATTTGGGCATACCCAAATGTCTTTGCATATTTAAAAATACACATCACATGCTTTTGTGATGCATCAACTAGAAATTACAACTAATATGACTTTTAAATTCGTAATTTTGAGTTTAAACTCAAAATCATGATTTTTTTACATGGCGGAAACGGGCTTCCAACAGTCTTTCAACGTTCTTGGTCCAACAGTGCAGGCGGTCAGCTTCCTCCTTCCTCTGCCACATCTCCATACATATGGAAGAGGGGTCTTCCCTGGATGGATTCCATTGGAATGGATGAACATTTTGGAAATCACAAGTGGATATTGCTTTTCCATGGACATTTAGGGAATTAATGAGCTACAGCAAGCCCGGATTACTTAAATTTTACAGACACAGCACAAGTCCAAAGGTAAGAAAAGTGATGAGAGTTCTTTGTTTTTGTTGCCATATTATGCTTTATATCGTTTTAGTGTAAAGTCTGGTATTACCTGCACTTGTATTAATGCAGATGAGAAAATACGTTTTAAAATGAAATAAAGCTTGTGGGGTTTGAAGACCAAAATAAATGTGCTTTGATAAGATGAACTCTGAAAAAAACTGTGGGTGTTAAATGGTTTTAAAATTCTCCGGGGATCAGTGCTGTCGATCTTCAATTTCTTGATATCGCCCTACTTCTCAAGCTGCCTTCCCACCAGACCAAGAGGTACGGCAGGTTTAAATGCAAAGTCTGTGCAGCAGACGCAATTTTGCAACACAGCATTTGAGAAAGGCAACTCTTTGTGTGAGGCAAAACGCAGGAGATGAAAATTGCTCAACATTTTGGCCGCACCCACGCGCAGCAAACAATCAGAGAGCAGGACAGTTGGTCAAGGGAAACAAGCCGCTCAGAGCTTAAGACATTTATGGCCTACAAGCCACTTGGAACAAAAGCAACCATGCGTAAAACTTGGCACCGCTTAGACAAAAGCATAATGCATACATTTTAATGGATGTCTAGTCACTGAAGTTTGGACCAAGGTTTCCCATCATTTATCCGCCAAACTGTAGGTTGCGCACATGGATCATATAGACGTGTCCCATTCACCAATGTAAATTTTTCCGCATCACACAGTGAATTGCTCTGAACATTGCTAACTAACAAGATAACCGCAGCGAATCAAGGTAGTAACAACCTGTCAAAAGCAAAGGCTATCTCTTTGCATGGGCTGTATTCACATTGAAATAATGTCACGTTTTCTAAAAACTAACCCTCAAATATAAAATACAAAATTATTGTCAGTAATAATGTATTGAGATAGTTATCCACACGGTATGTGGATAACTGTCTCAATATGTTCTATATTATGTGTCTTAACTGTTGATTCTCTGATCTGTGTTGGTGATTTCAGTGGTTTTATTAAGTCCTCTGAGAGGACTACTTTTGTGATTAAGGGCTATACAAGAATAAATTGTTTTGTATTGTATTGTATTGTGTACTGTAGTAGCAGAGAATCTTACCTTCCAGCGGTTTCCACACTCGTTACATAAGACAAATGTGGTCATGGGCTCATCAGCGCTGCGGGTCTGCACCTGTGCACACGCACGCACACACACAAGCACAATTAGAATGCTGGATTTTTTTAAATCTGAGGAAGTATTCATCAAATGCTTGATTCTGAGGAACTTCCGGGTAGAGCATGTAGTAACGTGTTCTTCAGCTCGAGTTTTTTAAATTCTGATTTTTAACCCACCAAACTGCTCTTATATCTTTGCTGAATTATTTTATCTCATCTTGAGTCGTTGCGTGCGCAGACTGGGTCGTCGAGGTCTCCGCCTTCGACTGCTGCCCAGTCCTCGCTGCACCGTGCCACCACGGACCCCTCTGCAGGTGGTGGGCCTACAGGAGGGACTCACGTCGACCTTTCGGGCTGAGCCCGGCCGGGCCTTAGCCTACCAGGCGCTCGCTTGCGAGCCCCGACCCCAGGCCTGGCTCCAGGGTGGGGCCCCGGCTGCGCCATGCCGGGCGACGTCACTGGTTTTGTAGTAGTGCTGTCCATGGTTGGCTTCGGACTGCACTTCGTCTGACTCGTCACCTGAGACCTGTCTGCCATGGGAGACCCTACCAGGAGCATGAAGCCCCAGACAGCATAGCTCCCAGGATCACCCAAGTACTCAAACTCCCCCACCACGTTAAAGTGGCAGTCCAAGTCAGACGGACTTTCAACTCACACCTCCTGGAGAGCTTCTCCCAGGTCCTGGCGGAGGAGGGGGACATTGAGTCTGAGTTGACCATGTTCTCTTTCTCTATCGCTGATGCGGCGGCTCGTAGGTGTGGTCGCGAGGTCTGCTGGTCCCGGCGGCAACCCCCGAACCCGGTGGTGGACACTGGCAGTAAGGGATGCCGTCAGGCTGAAGAAGGACACCTATCGAGCAATGATGGTTTGTGGGACTCCTGAGGCAGCTGTCCAGTACCCCCAGGCCAAGCGTGCCGCGGCCCGGGCTATTGCAGAGGCAAAAACCCGGGATTGGGAGGATTTCGGAGAGTCCATGGAGCATGACTATTGGTCGGCCTCGAGGAGATTCTGGCAAATCGTCCGGCGCCTCAGGAGGGGGAAGTAGTTCTTTGCCAACACCGTGTATGGTGCGAGTGGAGAGCTGCTGACTTCGACTGGGGATATTGTCGGGCGGTGGAAGGAATACTTCGAGGTTCTCCTCAATCCCCCCGTCACGTCCTCCATCCAGGAGGCAGAGGCTGAGGATGTTGGGGCGGATACTTCCATCTCCCTGGCTGAGGTCACCAAGGTGGTTGGCAGCCTTCATGGTGGCAAGGCGCTGGGAGTGGATGAGATCCGTCCTGACTCTAGCTAGCTTATCATTAGCCTGTCCGTCCAGAGGAGCGGATCCCTTTCTCAAATGGGTCTCCCTCCCTGTGGGTTTCCCTAGTTCTCCCCAAGGTTTCTCACTTTTTCCCACTGGGTTTTTTAAGAGTTTTTCCTTGTCGATGCAGGAGGGTCTTGTTGGACAGTTAGTGTCCAACAGAAAGGATTGGTGATGATGAGGACACTTTAGCATTCTACAACATGTATGGACATTTTCTTCTGTGTGTGCTTTATATTCTTCATGTGTTTTAACTGTTGATTCTCTGACCTGTGTTGGTGATTTCAATGGTTTTGTTAAGTCCTCTGAGATGACTTCTGTTGTGACCTAGGGCTATACAAGAATAAATTGTATACATAGTTCCCACAGACCAATGAATGTCACATGACCTCCTCGGAGACGCCATCTTTGATGGCACGCTGCTGTGTTTGTGCATTCCATTAAACAGAAGAATGAGAATAAATGTAGATATTCAAACGCAAATTGGAAAAAAAGGGCAACGTTTGAGCAAATAATTGTATATTAATACAATGGCACCACAGTTTAACGTGCTACGGACATGTTTTACATATTTGATCAAATTATGCAGCAAAAATTAACAAGCAATGCAAACATTTCTCAAAAACTTTAGATTTAATACCAGTTGGAGCTCCATTTAATTATTTTAATTATATTAACAATTAATTTAATTAATGCTAATGCCACACGGACACTCTGGATTTCTGTTATTGTTTATTTCCGCGTTTTTGACCGTATGTTTTGGTGAATGGTGGGCAACTGATTTTTCCAGGCGTAAAGAGCAGTTTATTTTATGACACAGATCTTTTTACAGAAGCAATGCTGTTTGTGAACATTGTTTTAGCCCACCATAGAACTATTATTATCTATTTAATACATTTACGTTGCCCTCGAGAGCCTCGGACGCGACACCGATCCTCCTCATAATAAAGTAATCTAAATAATGAAACTCTCAAGTTACCAGATATCAGCATACACAAGTTAGTACTGAGTAAATTACGTCTGTCAACACATAAGATACGATACGCACCTGACACAAAGTGCTCCGAGCATATTCTTGCGTGTTTTGAGGGAGTTTCTTGCCTGTTTATCTTCGCAAGCCATAACCTCCGTGGTTGTTCTGACAAAAGCTTAGTCTTCTCACATTCATGAAGTCTAATGATGGGTATACTGTAAAATCCAAGTTTAACGGAACCTCCGGCACGATTTGAACATCCATTGACCCAGCAGGAGATGACCATTTTCAACTTTATCACGACAACACGTTTCAGCTTCTTTTTCTATTGTTTTGCCCACAGAATGCCAACACAAATGGCGCCGGGTCGGCAAATCCCCGTATGTAGTGACGTCATGTGGGAACTATGTATTGTATTGTGTATTGTACTATCTAAAGTCTCTGGATGTTGTAGGACTGTCTTGGCTGACACCAATGCCAATGGGGTGGCAGATCGGGTTGGTTGTCCCTCTCTACAAGAAGGGGGATCGGAGGGTGTGTTCCAATTATCGTGGGATCACACTAATCAGTCTCCCCGGTAAGGTCTACTCCAAGGTACTAAAGAGGAGGCAACAGTCGTTGGTCAAATCTCGGATTCAGGAGGAGCAGTGTGGTTTTCGTCCCGGTCGCAGAACACTGGACCAGCTCTATACTCTCCATCGGATACTCGAGGGTTCATGGGAGTTTGCCCAACCTGTCCACATGTGCTTTGTGGATTTGGAGAAGGCGTTTGACCGTGTTCCCCGGGGTGTCCTTTGGGGGTTCTCTGGGAGCACGGGGTCCGGGGTCCTCTGCTGAGGGCCGTCCGGTTCCTGTATGACCAGAGCCAGGGGCTGCGTTCGCATTGCCGGTGTCCTGCCGAGTTGTGCCGCTTGCCGAGTTGTGACGCCCAGCTGTTGATGATGTAATGAATGCTGTAATGCAAATCCGCGTATGCGCGTCTCACGGCAGCCGAAGCAAACCAAGATGGCCGACGCAAAGTCCGTGAATTGCTTTAAAAGTTCAAATACGAACGAATTAAGTCACGAATGTCACTTTTAATGCAATTTGAGGCGAGATGTTGATGGTTCCGCGTTGTCACATGTGGGTTTTAAGAGTCAAAGTTTTGTGTAAAGTTTAGTTTAAGCAGTCAACTCTGCCTGTGAAACTACAATTCTAATGTTATGATAGCAGTCCTCAGCTGCGGACGCAGGCTGATGACGCGTCCTGTGGCAACTCTACAGCTTTGTTTTCTCTTCACCGAAGCTGAAAACTCACGTGAGTATGGCTCTCCGTTACCAAGGGCATATATTTGTATTAGTTTAACGTTGTATCAGCGAAAATCATCCTGTGATTTGATAGGGACTTACATACATCGAAATTAAGTGAAACAAACACTGCATCTGATTGACCAACATGCTATGTAACGCTACCAACAGTGATTCATTTTAAATATATGGTGTTTTTTTTTTTTTAGAGTTAAGTGCATAGGGATATTATTAAGTTTGCAACCGAGCGCGTTGACTTCATTGACCTCACTGTCTCTACCAAATCCTATACAGAATATTGTATTACTTTTTCAACTTTGTACCATACTCCTGGGTTCAAAATTACATTATGGGGATACATTTTACGTACACGCGTAATTTATGAATGAATCGCGGTCATAATCCCTCCCGAAATGTATTAATTTTCTAATATTTGCTCGTGGAGAGATGGTAACATTATGTACTAGTGAAGAAGATGATAAAGTCTGGGATCGCGTCTTTCATTCAGACAGAAGACATGCTTTATTGTCGATGGTAGAGACAGCACGAACAACACTAACAAAGGATGTTAAAGACAGCAAATGATAATATACTCAGGAGAAACAGAGACGTCCAATCAGCAGCTGCCACAATGCCAGCAGAGATAGTCAAAACAAGTAGTGGAAAAGTACAGGCTTCTGCACATTGATAGAATGATGAGTTTAACTTTAACAAAAGTTACTTAAAAGTGTTTTGAAATCTCACACTAGTAAAAAATATAAATTACGTTTCATTTATGTGTGTTGTTTCACATGGATGTAGCCTCATCACTAATCCTCTTCCATAGTATCTTATCTCTTGATATCTAATGGTGAAAGGAATTCAATATTAATACAAAGTCAAAGATTTCCATCTTTTTTAAATTAGATATTTTTGTGTGGGTTTTTGATCTGCTTTTAATCATTATTTGGTAGTCATTTAACAACATCTTCTCTTTTTCTCCCCAGAGCCATCCTTGCTCCTCTTTCTTTCCCTCCCATTTTGTCCACTTCCCCGTTTTCACATCTGCTTTTGATTGATACACCGTTTTTTGACCCTTGCCCGTCTACCTGACCAAGATTTTGTCTTTCATAATCATAATAGAGGATAAATTGGATGAAATGTTTCTTCTCCTCACAGAGACCATTTATCCTGAGGGAATGAATACATTTCAGACAGACAACTTGAGGAAGTACTTCCATAAATGTACTGTAAAGGGTAATAATGCATTTGCTGTTATGGTCATACATGTCTTGTTGTTCTTCTGTTGTTTTAATATGATTCAGTTGTCATAGATGGTGAGCTGTTCCATGACAAAAGAAGAGCCATTAAACCAAGACACGAGGCACATGCTACACCCACGGGAGGCCACACTGGCGTGAAAAAAACCTGCCATTTGTTCCAGGTTTTACTGGCGGGGCAGGACTGTGATGATT